CCCCAAAACCCCAAAACCCCAAAACCCCAAAACCCCTCCAACTGTATTTGGAATTGAATATATATAAATAAATATGTTAGAAATCACTCATGCTCACAGTAGTGCCAAAAGGATCTCCCAGGCTGTTAAGAGGAAATATCCAAAAGAAGGAAGCTTCAAGAAACAGAAGCGGAACAAAAGCCGTATGGAACAAAGTAAGGAATCTGTGTAAGACCTGTAGGCTTTTATAGAAAAAGGGTCCCCTCTTTCCTATCTTCTCATAATGACTCCTCAGAGCACCATCCCCATGAGCCAACGCATTTACCAGGTAAGAAAGAGATGGTTACATTTAGATTTTATTTTTAAGATAATTAAGCTGAAGAATTTCTGTAACAGTTCATCAGGCTTCAAATCTGAGAGTCTTAAATAATGAGGAATTATGGTCCCTATTGATGAGCAAAAATAAAAATCTCAAACCAAAGCATGGTAAATAAGTGAATGCCTACTCATGAGTACCTCAGAATGGCATCCTCTAACATGGTGGACAAGCAAGTCATCGTTCAGCCTAAGGAGGAGGACAAAAACTTCAAATAAGGGCATTGATAATCTAAAGAATCACATTAAAGTTTTTGACAAGTTTTTAAATATTATTGATAAAAATGGCAGATGGAAGTCCAGTCTTAGCCCTCGTGGCAAGAGGAAAAATAATATGTCCTCTACGAAGTTGATAAATAATAAAAAGGAGATTCATCTAAACCCAAAGAGACCAAGACGTAAAAGGTAACTCGAATCAGGATGTACAGGAAGATAGTAATCTTCACTTTGGGTTAGAACCAGTCTTCACAGTTTTTATGTACTTCCATGAATCAAGCATTTGGAAATCTGTAGTTGTCAAATTTGTGTATAATTAGCACAGATTATTATTTCTTAAATCTTTTCACTACCAAGGAATGTCCTAATGACTCTATATGTCAATAAAATATGAAAATTTTCAAAGGTTCAGCTAAATTTTTATCAGAGCTGTCATAATTCTGGCTGTTCAATGAAATTTTATCTTAAACTATAACCCAAATTTTGCTCTAAATCTCAAAACTGGCATAGCTTCTCCACAGATTCCTACATGGCAGACACAGAGAAGCACTGCCTGACTTTAACAAGGAAGAGTGAACGAAAGTGAGTTATGATGAAATCCCTAAATTAGCAATTATTAAAAGAAACCAGTTTATTTTTTACTCTCAAATGCTGTCATCCTAAATTAATGAACAACTATTACATTTCGGTAAACAACTAAGAATACTTTAGCTGAGTATTTTCGTTATGACTAGCAACATATTGCCTCCTTTTAAGAGACTCTCGGTTTGAGGCTTAACCCAGTTCTGTATTAGCAGGATTTCTGTCAATGAATCAGAATCGCCAAGGAGGAAGATCGGACAAGACAGCACAAGGAAGTTTTAATAGACACTTGACAATGCACAAGATGGCTAGTAATAGTTTCAGAAAGGTCAGTTAGTTTGAAACAGTCACACTTTTTAGTTCAGAATTAACCCTCAGGGTTCAAAAGTATATCTTTCCTTTAACTAAACATTGACTTAAGGATTCTTGCGAAAACATTAATTTGTCAAGTCAAGCTATATCTTTATTTAATCTCTAACTCTATAGCCATTGTTATGATTTTGGAGCATTCAGTTCTTGTATAATTTTGTAGTTCTGTAGTGTTTAATCTAAACTCTTGAGCTGAAAAGGGCTATAATAATAATTCTGATATATTTAAAGTAAAGGCTTAGTTATGTAAAAATTAGAAACAACCCTAATTTTACCAAAAGAAATAACGAAATATGGTCCAAAGTTGGCTGTGAAGAAGATAATAAATTTTAAATTATCCAAAAAATAGATGAAATAAGCTCTTTACTAATGGTCACTTTGGTATCCACAAAAGGGCATCTTAAGGATATCATTTTAAGACATCAAATATTCACCAAAAGTTTAGAAAGCAGAGACTCCAAAGATAAACATCATCAGTGTGGGTTCCTTTGAAGGAGACCATGGTTTAGACTCACCTATTGGCAAACTTAAAGGTAAATGTTACTGTAAGATTTTTAGAAACCTCTGCTTTCGTACGGAAGTAAGCCCAATTATTACCTTTTTAGGAGCAAACTTGTCCCACTGGAGATTACTGAGAGAGTAGTACCGGTGAGTCAAGGTAAAAATAAGGTAGATTCAACAAAGAATTTGCCTGATTCACCCATTGTTTTTAAGAATTGTTTCAAAAATGCTAAATAAAAGAGCACTTTTTATGAGGAAAAGTAGGTAAAAATATCATTATTTAGAGGAATTTCACTCGAAATGGAAAAAGGAAATTAAATAAATTCGATAAAATTCTTGACCTCAGGCAAAGCAGTCAGCCTGCTTTGCTGGAAGAGAAAAACAGCTTATCCAATTCAGAGAGGGTTCAATTTATACAACAAGCACTAAATAAGGAGATTATTGGTAGTATTGATCATGACGCTGAGATTATTAATCGCAAGGTTACCCAATCACATCAGCATTTTTGGAAAATATATAAACACCAAATTCCTTTGAAGTTATATCAAACAAATTATAGTCAAAATTTGAGGAATCATCATCCAAAATCGAGGTAAAATTCTGAGTTAACACTCTAGTCTGGGCACATATAAATCATACGAGGGGCCAGAGCCCAAGCAGCTAAAATCGAAATCAAAAGTTGTAGAATTTATCAACCAATTTTACACGAATGGGAGTAAAATTTACCCCTCAACCGTTACAGGAAAGGGTAAAGGAATCAGGTCTTATAGTAGGATCAAGAATGTAAGCGTATCTTCTCTCTACAGTTTCTCTATCTCTCCTGTGATCAACTCCAGCCTATACTAACCCCTAAATGTAGACAAGAATTAACCCAGCGACACCTGACATGAATCGCATGGATAACTTTCCAAAACTATCACAAACTCCTATAAAGACAAGCCCCCATTTAAGTCCTAAACCTCGAGAAATCTGCCGAAACCAAGGAAATCTAGAGAACAGCTCCCCAGCCGGAGGCATGAGTGCTCTCCTGAATGCCTTCAGTCCTATAAAGAAAAGAGAAATTGATTTCAAGCGTAGAAGAGTCAAGCCATTATTTCGGAGAGAATAAGTTCATTTTTTGAGAGGTTTTGAGGGGTTTTGGGGTTTTGGGGTTTTGGGGTTTTGGGG